CCCCCATCCCCCCCCCCCCCTCCCCCCCCCCCCCCCCCCCCCAGGTTGGGGAGAGGGGAGCACATCGACTTGCCAGTTACTTCAATTATATCACCTATGTACACAAGGATTACAAAGCTGAATAATTTGTATTTCCCACCACCTTGCTGCCTTAGTTGAAAATGGCTGAGATTGGAGTGAACATGGGGTGCAGTGCTCTAAAAATAATAATAATAATAATAAAAATAATGAGATCTTAATAGCACAGGCTTTTAAAAGAGCTTTTAAAAACCTACAGCCTCAGTGTATCCGAATCATTTACACTACAAATCTATACCCACAACTGCTCCTAAAGAAAGCAGTTTACCAACCAATGCCAACTGGGATGGCCAAGAAAAGAAAGAAAATTCCAGAAGAAAGGGCCTTCCATTAGGAAGGTCCAATGTTGGTCCTGGAAAAAAGTTAAACCTAGAAACTAATGTTCCATTGCTATGATAGGCTATAAAGTGAGAGGCAGTTTTGGTAACTGCATTGAGGCTATAAAAATCAATAACCTGAGAAAACCCCCATGAGAGATCATTTGTAGAAAGATCTGAATATGCAAGGGATATCTTCTCTATTTCTTGCACCTCTAAGATGATGTGCGACTACATTCTACCTTCAAAGAAGTTATACCTGTAGATCTTTAAAAACCTACTTGCCCATGCTGGACAAAAGGATTTTTCCTGATGATGAACAGTTAGGTTTAAGCCACCAATTTCTTCAAGATTTAAGCTCTCTCTAAAAAATTTCTAACACCTATGAATGCAAAACAAAAACAAAAAAAACAGAAATCCAGCCTCTAGGAAGTTAAGAAAGCGCATTCGTTCACCCTTCGAACACTCAAAGCATCTGCCATGAGACTTTTGCCATCATGCTTCCAGGTAGCAGCAATATGGAATTAACTAAACCAAGTCAATTTAACTTATACTGTTCAGATAATAGTTTCACTGGCTTTAAAGCGACAGCTGCTGCTTGGGAGAGCTGAGAGCAGTGGCTGAGACAGGCATGAAGTTCATCCCATCTATCTACAATCACACACACGCAAGCGCGCACGCACACTTTGTGGGGAACAGTTACAGCAACAAATATCTTTTTTCCCCTTCCTGCCTCAGAGGAGTGAGAAACTTGAAATGGGAGTAAGATAATAGGTAAGCAAACTTCTCATGACAGGCAAGACTGAAGAAACAAAACCTCATTCCGTTCAGTCGTTATAGTGGAGGAAAGGTACTTAAAGTTTCTCAGATCCCTACTAACTTCAGGCAAATAGAAAAGATTAATTCTTCTAGTGTAATCCAGTGCTAGAATTCTAAATTAATGTCCCCACTCCTATCAGTTGGGATTTTTCACAGGGTTACAGCCCCTATAGCTCCATGACAAAATAACTCACTCTTCTGCGTGTAGGATCTATGTTTGGCCATTAGATGCCTTGTGAATGTCATGCGTTGTGTATGAATATCCTAGGTATCACACAAAGCAGCTATCTGGGTATTTAAGTGCTGTTAGGAACATGCCATGCTTTCACAACAAACAAAAAGCCACGCAGATCTACGCAAAAAACCCCCCCAAAAAACTGCCATATCAATATACACTGATGCAGTAAGTGAATTCTATATCCATGAAAAATAAAGAAATGGGACATAAGCACCATAATTTCTATCCTGTGAGCTGTCCAGATGGATCATGCAACATGTTTCTGTTCTCCCAGTTACACGTCAAAAAGATAGAGGATTATTTAATTCAGCTAGTGATACAGAATGCTGGGATCTCATCCCTGGGGTGGAATCAGGAGGGCCCCAGTGTTAGTGTTTAGTAACACAAGCGAACTGAGCCACTGGTAGGATCTAAAGGTGGAATTCCTTTGAATTTTAAGCAGATAAAAAAGGAATAATAATTAAAAGAAGTTCTGCGGTGAGCAGAACTGATCACCACACTTCAAAAAAGGGTACAGAAGAACTAGAGAAGGTAGAGAAAGACAACAGGGATGATTAGTAGTATAGAGGGGCTTTCATGAGGAGAAACGAAAGAGGGTAGGCCTATTCAGTTTAGAAAAGAGACATTCAAGGGGAAATATCAAAAGGGCTCACAAAATACTAAATGGCAAGAGAAAGTAAACAACAAATCTCTATTTACTATATCTCTCACAATACAAGAACTAGGGATGACTAGAGGTGCACCAATACATTGGCCCAATATCAGATCAGTACCGATATAAAGAAAATTGGCTGTATTGGAAATCAGCCTGATGCGGCTGATAATTTGGCACCGATAAATGTCCCTGTGTGCACGCAGCCGCAGTGCAGCACACAGGCAGAGAGCACAGCCTGGCAGTGTGGAGAGCTGCCTCCAGGTGGTAAGTCCATTGGGGTGGAAAGGGAGGGGGAAGGGTAGGGGCATGGGGGGCAGATCAATGTCCCCCCATGGTGAGGAAGGGAGTGGGCAGGGGTATGCGCTGCCCAGCCGGGGTGGGGCAGGGCATGAGAGAGCTGTGGCTCAATGGGAGGGCGGCGCTCTCACTGCTGTGTGCACCCTGGGAGAGCATGGGGGGCGGGAGCCGTGATCCCAGTGTGCCCCCTTCACATGCCTGGAGCAGTCTCAGCTCAATGCCCCACCTCTACTCCTGTTAGAGCCAGGCCTGCACTGGACACGCGGCTGCAGGGCTACAGTGAAATCTGGGGTGGTGGCGGCAGCACTGGGAGTGGGGCTACAGGGACATATCAACTGCCCAGCCAGGGTGGGGCAAGGTGCGGAAGCTATCGGGAACATATCAACTAAATATGGGGGACAAAAAAAAAAGAAAAAGCAGGGAAGAAAGAGGTCACAGGTTCATAGGGAAGGGGACACAACGCACAGCACACCAGCCAGTGCCTAGTGCCCCCTAAATGAGTCAAGGGAGCCTGTGGATGCAGCCCAGTGAAACTCTGATCCAGAGACATGAGTGGAGTGAGAGGAAGACAGCCCCACACTCACTCAGGTTCCCCCTAGGCAAGAGCCTCCTTCCAGCTTGGTAGATGGCCACCTGGGCAGAGCCAGGAGAAGTTTGACCAGAAGGTCCTGGGACTTGCTGGGGCCACAGAAGGAGAGTGCATAAACAAAAAGATGTGGGGAGAAGCGCGGTCAGAACCTCAGCAGAAGGTTCAGGAGGAGGAAGAACAGAAGTTGCAGCCTAGCATACTGGAGATAGGTGCGCGCCAGGGTCTCCCTCCATTGACAAAAGGGGTAGCTGTTGGTGTGGTATCCTTGAACCACACCAGATACACGCCTGAAGTGACAGCTCCACAGAGAAGCCACCAACTGAGGTCCTTGGTGACGTGATGGTGAAATACAGATTTGTGCATTGAGAGTGCCCCCCTCTCGTCATCTGACCAGGATGCAAGGACAGGGTGACCCAGGATGTGCAACACAGGCCTTTTGATGTACTATTCCAGAATGTGAGCCAATCCCCACCCCACTAAGTAGAGCTATAAGCCCCCCTTATTAGAAAGAGGACCACTAAGGGCACCTCAATGCTTGCTTAAGACAATTAAAATACAAAATAGGGGCAGGAATGAAGGTCACAGGTTTAAGTGTGCCTAGGGTACACCAAACAATATGCACTGGCTGAACATGTCCAAGGAGCCAGTGAAACTCTGGCCAGAGATGTGAATGGACAGAGAAAGAAAAACAGCCCTACAGTCCCTGGGTTGTCCCCCACCAGAGCACTCTTCTTGGTCAGGAAGATGGCAAACTTGGCTAGGGCCAGAACGTTGACCAGGAGGTCTCATGACTTGGTGGGGCTGTGGATGGGGAGCATGTAAACAAAAAAGGAATGGGGAGCCATGCAGCCAGAACCTCAGCAGAAGGCTCTGGGGGAGACGGTGAAGGGGCTACAGCCTGATGCCCTCCAGGTGGGTGCGGACCAGGGTCTGTCTTTGCTTGCAGAAGAGGCAGGCATCAGGTATGTGAAGTGTGTGAGGCGCATGCCCATGGCGATGGCTCTGTAGAGGAGCTGCCAGCTGGGGCCCCTGGGGGCTCACAGAATCAAAGTAGATACTGGCTCGCCTACCAGGAACCCTTGGCACCTGCTTTCGCCAAGGCTGTCCCACCACCTGTTGCCTGGGAGATGACAGGATGACAAAGGATGCGACACAGGGAGGAGGGGTTCTGTGTGATAAACGTTTCCGAGCCTAGATCTGAGAGCTCTCATTTGCCCTCAGTTTTTCGGATTTTGCTTTTCTTAGGCAGCAGCGCTGCCTGGAGGTCGGGCCAGCTCCAACTGTGTGACGGTGACTCCCTGCAGCCTGTTCGGTTCCTCTCCGCTGCGATGGCCAAGTTGGAGGTGGCAGGGGATGGATCAAGTTTCTTGGCCACAGGCAGCTCCCCCAGCCATTCAGGTGTCCCATCGCCGCAGCCAGAAGAGCCTGCCCCAGCTCCCCTTGCAAAGCAGCCGGCGCACGCAGCCTACAGGGACCGGCTGCCCGCCTGTGCGGGAGGCCTCAACTCAGCCTGGACGTGGCCTCCCTACTTGCCACAGTCAGACCCGGCTTCGCTCTCAAGCGAGGCCTCCTGCAGGGCGCCGGGCCCGCGCGATGCTCTCGCGGGGGGGAGGCGCCGGGAGCCCGAGGGAGGGTGGGGAGCACTCACCGACTGCCTGCTGTTGTCGTCGTCGTCCTCCTCGTAGCCGTCCTCGTCGCCCTCGAGGCGGGAGAAGTCGTCCTCACCGTAGCCCTCGGACACGAGGCCGCCCTTCTCCTCTGGGGGCAGGAGCAAGGGACAGGGTTAGCACGCCGGCGCCTCGCGGCGAGGGAGAGAGAGGGGATGAGGGAAGGGGACGGGTCTCACCGCCCGCCGTGGCGCCATCACTGCCCGCCGCGCCCGCCTCGCTGTCGGACTCGGGCTCGGAGTCCTCCGCGTAAACCGCCAGCGACGACAGGACGCTCCGCTTAGCCGACGCCATCTTTCCCCTCCCCCCTTCCTGTTCCCGTGCCAGAAGTGAAGCTCACTTCCGGCGCGGGGGGATGACGCTCAGGGTCAGAGGGCAAAGCGTTCGCCATGGCAACGAGGCCCGCCTCTTCCGCTTCGGGTTAGTTGGCGGGGAACGCAGGTGCTTTCCCCGTCTCCGCTGGTCCACAGGGAGCGAAACCTTCCAGGCGGCGAGGGGCCCCTGCGCCGCGACGGCGCTTGGTAGCGGCGGTGGCAGCAGCCCCCGAGCGAGGGTGACTGGCCCTTTAACGGCCTCTGCTGACGTCATCTCTCCGCGCCAGGGGCCGCCGCAGCGACAGGTGCCGGAAGCAGAGGAGCGGTGAGGATCGGGGCCGGGGCCGCCCGCGCGGAGGGGGAAAGGGGCCCGGGCAGGGATGCAAAAGGGTTCAAGTAGTCCCTGCTGCCGGGCAGGTTTCCTCTGGGAGGCGCAGGGCCCCGGGGCGGGGGACGAGGAGGAGGGGGGGAGGGTGCGAGCAGCTGAGGAAGAGCCGGCCGAGGAGCAGAGATGAGGACTCCCGTGGCCCTTCCTGCTCCCCTTGTCCACCCCTCGGGTCATGCCGGCTCACGGCTAATGAGCGCCTGGCCCCAGCACCAGCTTTTCCTTGCCGCGGGGTTGAGCTCTGCCCCCTGTTCCCCCTTCAAAAGCCGTGGCAAGTGGCGTGTGCGCAGGGGGAGGGATCAGGTGTCGGTTGTAGGGGGAGGAAGGGCTTTGCCGTGGGGTCCGTGACACTGGTTCTCCCTTGTTTAGTGGGTGGGGTGGGGGCGGGGGAAGGCGGCTGCTTTACAAACGGTTCCACCTCTGCCCGGGGGAGGGGGGTGGGCTTTGAAAGCAAAGATACTCTCAGAAACCTGGTGCTGGAGGAGTGTGACCCGCAATGCTCAGGCGGGTGAGACTCTCACAGGACTAATCCTCCTGACCAAGATGTTGCGATTGGCTGCCGGTACAGAGAACAGCAGAGCTAAGTAAGCTCCTTTCCTTCTTCTTTACCTTGACCTAGTCCTAGGTCCCGTAAGATGAACGACCGCAGATCCTCAGGCCTGGAGGGCCGGGTCCGGAAGACTCTGAAGAAGGTCTTTGGTTTTGATTCTTTCAGGACCTCTCTGCAAGAAAGTGCAGTCTTGACAGTAGCAAAAGGTAAGACCCAGCAGTCGTTTGGGGGACTGTGACCTTGCTTTGTCAGCTTCCAGTTCTTCTGCCTGCAGTGGAGTTGAAGGAGCTGGCCTTGAGGATTATGCGTTGCTGACAGTGGTTTTGCAATCCCTACAGAGGGTTTCTTGGTCTGGCCACTGTGGTAAACCATCCTGGACCAGAGATAATCCAAGGGTGCTTTCCTGGGGTAGTAATGCTAGTATCCTTTACTGGGAAAGTGCTCCCAGTGGATGTAGATGACCTAGCGAACCTGCCTTGTACACCATTATAATAATGGTCTTTCCTCCCTCCACCCCAACACAAGAAGTCTTATGCTGGTTAATATGCAGTTTTGCTGATTTAATGGCCCTTCCTCTAGGACCTCCAGCTGGCTCAGCTATAGATTCATAAATTGTTAGGGGCTGGAAGGGACCTTGCAAGATCATTGGGTCCAGCCCCCCTGCACTAGGCAGGAAAGACAACCGGGGTCAGGTGACCCCACCAAGGTGACTGTTCAGTCTCCTGTATCGGGCTTTGCAGCTCTTCACACCTTAAACTGACAAAGTAGCACTGGCAGAAGTTTATAACATGGCTTGGCTCCAGTATAGATGTGGTCTGAATTCATGGAAGAGTTCTCTGAATGAAATGGTAAAAGCATTCTTTCACTGGTGAGACCCTGTGTATGCTAGGGTTTTGCCAAGGTGCCTTTGTAAACCAGGTTTGGTTCCATGCTCTTGACTGACATTGCTACGCTAACAGAACAGCTAATTATAGACCAGGCCATGGTGTCAGAAGCCTATGATCTCCCTCTCTCCACTGGCCACTAGCTCACACACACAGCTGTAGCAAGTGCCTGTGTCAGAGCCAGGGTATTATGTCAGCAATATGTTTCTGCCTTCTAGTTAGTGTGGTATGAGTTGTCGCCCTTCTGATCTGGCAGTGGATGCTGTTTTACAATACTAGTTCATATAGAGTATCCACCTGCAGTTGAAAGAGTCTTAAATTTCTATTGCGGGGAGATTTTATTTAACAGACTGCAGTAAAAATCTGTCCAGAGACTATAGCAGGTTAGTTGCTGAAGGTACAGTCTAAAAGCAAGCTCTTCTGACACTGAGATGGTATAAGCTTGAATAAGTCAGTTAACTTCATTGTACCTTGATTTAAACCTCTGGGTAGAATAATTCCTGTCGCGTAGCAGGATTACATGGCTGAATTCATTGCAAAACAGCTAGAGATTCTTGTAAAGAAGCCACTAGAAACATGCAAAAGATTATTTTACTTTTAGGAACTAAAAAAGACCTTTCTTATGCTGGCATCTAGTGCTGTACGTGCATAAGCCCAGCATGAATACAGCTTCTCTTCATGTATACAAGCTGTTGTACCCAACCCTCCACAGCATAATCCAAAGAAATTTACCGCAGCAGCTTTGAGTCTTGTTCTGTTGTCTTCGCAGGCGAGAAGGATGTCTTTGTATGCATGCCCACAGGGGCAGGGAAATCCCTGTGCTACCAGCTTCCTGCAGTACTGGCAGTGGGCATCACCATTGTCATTTCACCTCTGATTGCACTGATTCAGGTAACCATCTCCTGTTAGCTCTGGATAGGCAATCAGTGAAGGGGTGGGGAGACTGGGGAAACACAGTTGGGTCCTGCCTTTCCACCCACCAACTTCTAACATCAGTTGGTCTCTCAGGTCTCTTCTCATTACCAAGGAGTTGGTTTTGCCACTCTGTTAGTAGGAGAGAATGCTGCTGCTGCCTGATTTACCTTGGTTTAAAGTCTTGTCGAAAGAGCAGAACTATGGGAGGCCTCTCTCCAGCATTCTAATGGTGACAGTAATGGGACTTGAACCAATATAACTGCAACGGGGACCTTTGATTTAACAGAGGGTCACAATGATTGGTCCTGTTCCCATCCCTCAGTGATATGCTGTCTGGAGACAGCAGCATTGATCCACTATAGGTGTTTTAACTGGAGCTTTCCCAAGAATAAAACTGCCATTTTATCATGTATAGTAAGAACCCTAAGGATAGTCCTTTTTTCTCATAACTGATCTTTGTCATTATCAGACAGAATTAGGGACAAAAAGGCAATTCTGGGAAGAAGCAGTTTTTGGCAGAGGTGCTCAAACATTTTAGGTTACAGGGCACTTACTTTGGGGCACCTTACTGTTTCTGGTGTGTTATACTCAGTTGTGAACAATGACTCTCCACAGGAGAAGCTGCAACATTACTTAGATTCAGTCCAGTCCAACACACTGCATGATGCTGGTTTCCTTTTAACTAGGCTTCAACCAACATTTTACATATTTTCGAAATGGCTGACAGCTCTCAGAAAATAGTTATCAGTAGGGAATTTCCTTCAATCTAGAGTCTTTCCAGTTAGGTTCTGCAGGGATTAGTACTTGTCCTGATGCTATTCCATATTTTTCTCGAGGACCTGAAAGTTGAGAGAGAGAAAATTGCTGCTGATACAATTTGCAGATGACTCAAAGATGGGCAGGGTGCTGACTAACAAGGAGGATAATGCAGTTTGGCCAGAAGGATGTATATTGCTTGTTAAGGGCTGTTGAAATGTACTGCATTTTGTACAGCTAAATACAAAGGTGCATAATACCTAGGACCTGAGAATGCCCTGGTGAGACTGAAACTGGAATGGTGTGCACAGTTCTGGTGTGTGTTTTTTTTTTTTTTTTTAAAAGGGTGCTAGAAATAATGGCAAGGTTGCAAGGGAAAGCCACAGAAGTGAATCAAGGGCTGGAGAATGTGCCTTGCAGTAAGAGACTTGGTGCAGTCCATTTATTACAAAGGAAACTGGAAGCTGACTGGATGGTGAAGCACGTTCACTGGGAGAAAACTCCTGGGGTGAAAGCTCCATAGCCTAGTAGGCAAAGGCCTGACAAGAGCCAGTGGATGAAGTGAAAGCTGGACAGATTCAAATTAGATTTAAGATACACAGTTTACCAGTGAAATGACTAACCAGTGGAACAGACCAGCAAGGGGGATGGAGAACTCCCTGTCTCAGCAAAAGCAAATGCCCAAATGTTTGAGTAAGACTGTGTGCCTGCCTGGAAGCCGTACTTTAGTCACCTAAGGTATTGGGCTCAATTCAGGGGCAAGAACATGACATTCTGTGACCTGTGTTATGTACAGTCAGACTATTGGATCTGGTCGTTCCTTTGTGCTTTAAGAACCTATGAATTTCACCTTGGAGGTAGGCCCTTTGTGTAATGGTGGGTGAAGCAATATCCGTATATAGAATGTATTTCACTTAAGTTTGTAAAATGCTTTGGCAGCCTATGGATCTAGAGATGCTCTATAGCAGGGGTGCCCAACCTTTTTGAATGTGGGGCCGGCACAGGCAGGGGGAAAATGCAGCTCAGCCCCTGCTGCTCCGGCCAGGCTTGTCCCGTCCCGAGCAGCACACGGCTCTGCTGCCGCTTCTGCTGGCTGGTGCCGGCTCCTCCCACCTCCAGCAGCAGGTGGGAGGCTGGCTTCAGCTGCATGCTGCTCCAGATGGGACAGACCCGCCTGGGTCAGCACTAGCCAGCAAAGGCAGTGGGGGAGCCGTGTGCTGCTCGGGACTGACCGGCGCAGGTAGTGGGAAAGTGCAGCTGATCCCCCTGCTCCTCCGGCCGGGCTTATCCTGTCCCAAGCGGCACATGGCTACTCCTCTTCCCACACACCGCGTCGGCAACATCAAGCTGACGCGGTGCGTGTGGAAACCTTGTCCCTTCCCCAGCCCTTCAGCAGCCATTAGGAAGCTGCTGATAGGCTGGGGGAGGGACAAGGGGTGGGAATGAAAGGAAACCATGTTTACCTTCGTTTCCCATCGCAGCATTGCGGGCCACAGAAAACGGCTTGGCGGGCTGCATGTTGGACAAGCCTGCTCTATAGATATGAATAGTTGGCCTCCCTAATGCTCTGATGGTAAGCATCCTGAAAAGATTTGGTCCCCTCCCACCCCTTCTGGGAAGGGCTGGAGATGTCATGCATAGATCCCTTCTGCCAGTTTTATTGCTGCACAAAGTGTTTGTCACCATAAAAGCCAGTGGTTGCACAGACACAAGGCTGAATGGTTTTGCTAGCTGCTGTGTTTAAAACCTTGTGTGCTTTTGGTTTAAGAGGGTTGGAGCTGTGGCTTTGCCATATCGGTGTGTAGACCTGGTCTGGGTTGGGGTACAGCTTGATTTTTTTTATGCTCATCTTTTCTGGTAGCAATCCTGATACCATGCTTCCTTCAATGCTATTTTCTTCCTCTGTCACAGGATCAAGTGGATCATTTGTTGGCCCGGAAGGTCAGAGCCTACTCCCTGAACTCCAAGCTCCCTGCCCAGGAGAGGAAGATCATCCTGGCTGACTTGTCAAGTGAGACACCCCGGGTAAAGCTCCTGTATCTCACCCCAGAGATGGCAGCTGCTGCCTCCTTCCAGCCCATCCTGAACTCCCTTGTGTCCCGAAACCTCTTGTCTTACCTGGTGGTAGATGAAGCTCACTGCATCTCCCAGTGGGGGCACGACTTCCGGCCTGACTACCTACGGCTGGGCTCCTTGCGCTCTCACATACCTAACACGCCCTGCATTGCTCTGACGGCCACAGCCACCAAACAGGTCCAGGATGATATTGTGGCATCTCTTAAACTGAAGCAGCCTATCGCCACCTTTAAGACTCCCTGCTTCAGGTCCAACTTGTTCTACGATGTGCAGTTCAAAGAACTCTTGACTGATTCCTATGGGAATTTGAAGGATTTCTGCCTAAAGGCTCTTGAAGTGGAGAACTCCACAGGGGTAGGTTTGTCTTGGGAATTACTTCCTAGGCCAGAACTCTACAGAGGCTTCCTACATGTATGGTGCTAACAGGTCTGGGAAGGAACGTCCATGAAAGGAGCATTCTTAAGTCATTTTTAAGACATTCTTAATCTCTGATGTATAGGACTTTCTTCCCAGCCTCATTTGTCTTTCCCTGTTGGAAAAAACGGGCATATGAGAGTTTTGCTTTGCTATGGACTAAGTGCTCTATGGTGTAGTCTAGTCTACATGCCAGACATATGACAACGGTGAGACCTGTTCAGCTCCTTGCTGTACCAATTTACCAGTGTCCCTGGCAAGTTACTTAGCTGCTCTGCGCCTCATTTATTCCCCTATACAACAGGGATATTAATGCCTCCCTACCTTACAGGATGTTGTGAGGAGAAATATACTGAAGATGGTGAGGTGCCTGGATACTACGGTAATGGGGACTTCATGAGTATCTAGGACAGACAGGCAGACATCCAATTTGCCTTACTTTCATGCTGGTTTATCAGCGCCGTAGGGCATCGACGCAACTTTAAGGATATTGCTGTTGCTGCTGAGAAGAGATGTAGGCTCTCTTTGTCCTGGCCCCTCAGCAGTAATAGCTGCTAGCTTTGTCCCTCTTCCTCAGATGGCACACTGGATTTTCCCTTCTCTCTGCTTCTGTAGGTATACTCTGGCTGTGGCATTGTGTACTGCAGGACAAGAGAAACCTGTGACCAGCTGGCTATTGAGCTGAGCTACAGAGGAGTGAAAGCCAAGGCCTATCATGCAGGTACTAGAAGCTGTGACTGTGCCTAGAGTCAGTGTAACAGAACGTTACCTTCCTTAATGGTCTGGCTCAGGCAGATCTTGGAGAGCAGCTCTCTAGGTGTGACACTGTGACAGCCCAGGTGGGGCCTGGGACTCAAGCCAGCTGGTCCTTGATACAGGTGTTAGAGAAATGGTTGAATGGTGTTCCCTGGAGCCTGTTGCCTTTGATCCTGCAGAGTCTGAATGTAACCACCTGCATGCCATGCTGCGAGACGATTCTTTTCAAGCTTCTGCTTGGGAGGGGTCCAGATTTTCCTCTGTCGCATCCTTAGTCTGACACTGAGCCAGTTTGCAGTCTGGAGTAATGGGTTAAGCTTTGATCTTTATGCTCTTGCAACTTGAGCCAGTCAGGTGGTAGAGAGATGGAGCTAGAAAGGGCACCCTCCTTTCCTTCTGACTTCCCTGCTTTTCCGTCCCCAGGACTCAAGGCAGCTGACAGGACTTCAGTTCAGAATGAGTGGATGGAGGAGAAGGTCCCAGTCATTGTTGCAACCATCAGTTTTGGAATGGGAGTTGACAAAGCTAACGTCAGGTGTGTTGGTGCTTGGAGGGCTGAAGAAATGGTGGAACTGAGGTACCACAATGGGCAGGAACTTGGGAAGAGGAGAGGGAAAGGCTTTCTTAGCCACTCTTTGTTCATTAAGGTCTAACTCAGCTGAAATACTTGGAAGAAAAACAGCCTCTGCAAGATTCAGCGACTCAGCAGCTGAGCAAAATGTGTCTGCGGGATAAGCTCAGAGGGGTTTCAAGAGCTCCAGAGGCCACAGTTTAACTTGTGGGCCTGTGCTGGTGTCTGCCTTCTCTCTCTTTCCTGGGTATCAGTGGTTTAATAAGAAGGGCATTTGATTATCCCAGACTGATACAAAGCACTGCTACTCAGCCTTGCCTTTGCATTAATAACATTTTGGGTGGTGACTTGCATATGCATCATGCCTGACAAGTGCTGGCGTTGCTTTTGGGGAATGGATGAAGGGGGTGAAAGGAAGGATGGTGTAGTATCTCTGCTTCTGTTGGAGTTGGCCTGTCCCAGTTTGCTGCTAACCCTGTCCTCGGCAGTAGTTAATCATTGCAGGAGCTGACAGCCACGGCTAAGGAGGAAACTTGTATCTTGATGCTTCTTGGCTGCTCCTGATAGTACAGTCCTGATGGAAGCTGAGTATTTAAAAAATATTGGCAGCATATCACTGGACTGCTTTAAGATCTCTGAGATACAGAGATGCGAGTAAGAATAAAAAAAGCAGCAGTCACTGAGTGGTCTCATGGTATCAGGCCTAAGTCAGCTTTGCAGTAGTGTCTTTTGGATGCACTTCTTGTGTGCAGGCTTAATTATGAGTTAGTAATGGTCCACAGTGGCATTTCATGCCTGGGCGGGAGCCCTTAGTCCACAGCTGAGCCAGAACTTTGTGTGCATATCGTTGGCAAAGGAGCTTTGTACTGAAGCTTAAGTGACATCTTGTGAATTTGCAAAGCAAACACCGCTCTATTAATAACGTGTAATTTTATGGTAATAGACCCAGACCTCTGGAGACGGACTCTTTTTTCCATCCTTCACAATTGTATATCTTTATGAATTTAGGGGAGCTAGAATACATACTGTATCTGTTCTCTTTGAGTGGCATCCCACTGTCTGACTGTTCACATGCATACTAGCCTTTTGTTGTAACTTCCCTTTGTGTTGCTCATGGTTCTAAGAACTCCCGGTTCAAAACCCCTTACCTCGTAGGCTCCTTGGTTCTGACTCTCACCCTTCTGCCACCCTATTTGTACACTTATTCCTTGACCTCAGTGGAAAGTGCTGCTGTCCTTGCAGTAACTAAAGAAGTCTACAACAACATGTTTCCTGTTACCTTGTCCCATGCAGATTTGTTGCCCATTGGAATATTGCCAAGTCAATGGCTGGGTATTACCAGGAGTCTGGAAGAGCTGGGAGAGATGGGAAGCCATCTAGGTGCCGTCTCTATTACTCTAGGGATGACCGGGATCAGGTCAGCTACCTGATCAAGAAGGAGCTTTTTACCATCCAGGTAAGACCCACAGAATAGTTTTCCGGAGCGTGGTTTTTTCAGTCTTCTAGGTAAAAGTTTGCTACCGCGTTTGCTGTCTGGTTAACATTAATCCTGCAGTCACTTCAGAATGTCCCAAAGTAGGATGGAGTTTATCTAGATCTGGCCCCAAAGCTGCCACATGGGCTGGGGGTAAAAGTAGTATACCTGGATCTGGCTTCATAGTTGCCACCTTTGAAGAGAGTGGAAGAGGCTAAAGCAGTGAGAACAAAAGTGGTTGGAGTTGGAGGTATGGCTCCGGCAGAGGTGGTTAGACTTGGCTGTGGTACTGCCATAAGCTGGAAGAGAAGTGGAGCCTAGAGCTCATTGCAATAGTGTTCTAGAGGCTGGAGGGATAGTTGGGTTTGGATGTAGGCAGAGTTGCTGCACCTGTCTAGAACTGTATCAGAGGGAGCTTTGCTGATTATCCCCTGCTTCTTCTCAGGAGAAAAAAGGCACCTTGAAAGAGTCTGATAAAGCAGTGATGACAGCTTTTGATACCATGGTGACCTTCTGTGAAGAGCTTGGGTGAGTATATCTGTTATGCATTGCTTGAAGGTCCCCTTTTCTCTTATTAAGTCACCATGACAGCCAGGACTGTTGTGCTTTCTGTAACTTTGTAACTGTGGAGAAGAAAAATGTCTCCTAGTGGTTGTGAATGAATCTTTCCAAATCCCATTGAATGTGATGGATGCAGTGCTGTCTGTGGGCTGAGGAAGGCTGGCAGGAACAGCAGCTCAGAGAGGTGTGAATGCCTGCTTTAATTGCAATTGGCTGTTGATCCTGGATCTTAATCAGCTAAAATGTTGATGTTAAAGTTATCATTATTCCACTTCTGATCACTGAAGCAGACTTGCTCAATGTGTTGTAGGATGTAATGGTTGATATTGGGGACATAGAGTGCTGGAGTTCCTGGTTGCTACGCTGGAGTCTGTTCACTGCTCCTGCCCACCAGTATGAGTTGCTGCTATTCCATGATGCCAAACACTACAGCCCTTAGAACCAAAAAAATCCCCTTTGTACTCTGCTTCCCTTGCTTTTCAGGGCACCAGGACCCACAAGTATTGCCTGTCAACCCTATGACTTCCCCTATAGCAACTTCTGTAGGCAGTGATATGCTACCAACACAGAAACCAGCAGCACAGCGTGACTCTGTGAGACTCTCTGAGACACTGTGTTAAATCCATGCTCTAGAATTCCTAGTCTCTTGTAAAATTCAACATCAGGCTTCATGCAGAAACCAGGAGCACTTGCTTGAGACTAGCACCAGAGCTTGGCTGCTTCTAGCGATGTCTGATTTGGTCAGATTGTGTCTGAATCGTTCCAGCTCCTAAAGCTGGTCAGTTCAATAGGAGGTACAGTCTCTCTCTTATCTGAGCACACCATCCTCCTCCATCCTCTGTTGCTATGTAGATCTCGGCATATGAAACTGGCACATAACCACCCTGGCAGGCTGCATGCCTTGGGGGCTGCAGTTCAGCTGGAAGCAGGCAGAGGGGGATTGTAACCTGCCACGACAGAGTGGGCCAATTGAGAACAATAACTGGCTGGCCTGTGGAAGTTAAAAAGCTCCCAGAGAGGGACAGATCAGGACAGAAGAGAGACGGCTAGGAGGCTAAAAGCAGCAGTGACCTAGAGAACTTGCTCAGGGTCTGGGAGAAGACTGCAGCAGAACTGAGGCAGATCAGAGGAGAGAGAGGACTCTGGGGTGAGAGGCTACAGTGTAGAGCCAGAGTGGCCCACTTAGGGTCTGGAAAAAGACCCTAGGTGAGTTGGGGAGCTCGCTACAATGAAGGAGAAGACTGTGGGACTGGAAAAGTGGCACAAAACCAGAGTTGCCTTATCAAGGCCTAGGAAAAGGTCCCAGGATTGTGAACTAACTCTCTATGGACTGTGTTTCCATTTGCTTGCTGGTTGTTTATATTGAGGGGGTCAGCTGTGGGTATGCGTACCCTAGTGGGTATGTGTGGGCAGGGATGGAGTGCTGCCACCCACCACCCTGCACCGTTGCCTCCCAGGAGCAGGTCTGCGCCGGGGCGAGGGCAGCAGTGCCCCTCTGCGGGGCCATATAGGTGCCGTCCAGCTGGTCAGACGTGGGGGGAACTTGCATGCAGCAGCTACTGCCATCCACCACCCCATACTGCTGCTGTTCCGCATCCAGCTGGGCACCACCCCCTCCTCCCCTTCTTCGCCCCCCCGGCTCTGCATCCAGCCACTGGGTGTACACTTATTTTTAAAAGGTTGAAAACCCCTGGTTTATATTGATTCCCACGGGAAGGGAGTTTGCCCCAGGAAATGAAGACTGTGACTGAGCAGTCCCCAGCTCTCAGCAAGGACTTTATCCTGCATTTGTGTCCTGGGAGGCCAGTTTGTCTAGGACAAATAAAGTCTGTGTTTTAGAAACCTGATATCCTGCCACACAGACACATTAATATACATCACTGTGGAAGGGGTTATTGTTTAGTGGGTAACTGTGATACCTTCTGTGCTGTGAAATGGAAGTGATGAACAGCCGTAGAGGTGGGGTGTATGTGTGGTCCCCTTCTTCCTCCCATTAAAGAAGCTAAAGCACATAGATTCATAGATTGTAGAGTCGGAAGGGACCACAATTGATCATCGTGTCCGACCCCCTGCCCCTGGCAGGAAAGAGGACCAAGGTCAGATGACCCCAGCCAGGTGACTATCAAGCCTCTTCTTGAAGACCTCCAAGCTAGGTGAAAGCACCACCCCTCTTGGAAGCCTATTCCAGATCCTGGCCACCCTTACTGTGAAAAATTTCTTCCTAATATCTAACCTAAATCCACTCTCAACTACTTTACACCCGTTATTCCTAATCACTCCCTGGGGCGCCCTAGTAAACAGCGTGTCACCCATTCCCTGTTGACCTCCCCTAATAAATTTATAGGTGGCCACAAGATCTACCCTCAGCCGTCTCTTGTGAAGGCTGAAGAGATTCAGCTCTCTCAACCTCCCCCCGTAGGGTCTTTCCCGAAGGCCACTAATCATGCAAGTGGCCCTCCTCTGGACCCTCTCCAGATTCTCTTGAAGTGTGGTTGATGGCCTCGTTACACTGCTGGCTCATGTTCATCTTGGAGTCAGTTATGACTCCAAGATCCCTCTCTGCCTCCGAGCTGCTGAGAAGGACACTCCCCAACCTATAGGTGTGCTGGGGGTTCCTCCTTCCCAGATGGAGTACCTTACATTATCTTTATTAAATTGCATCCTATTTCTCTCTGCCCATTGATCCAACCTATCCAGGTCGGCCTGAATCTGCTCCCTGCCCTCCGGTGTACTAACTTTGCCCCATAACTTGGTATCATCAGCGAACTTGGAGAGGGTGCTCTCCAAATCCTCGTCCAAATTGCTGATGAAGATATTAAATAATACCGGTCTGAGGACCGAACCCTGTGGGACCCCACTGCCCACCTCCCTCCAGGCCGAGAAGGAACCATCCCTCACCACTCTCTGGGTGCGGTCCCTAAGCCAGTTGGCCACCCACCTGACCGTGTAGGCATCCACTCCACAGTCTGCTAGCTTCCCAATGAGGATAGGGTGCGAGACTGTGTCGAAGGCCTTCCTAAAATCCAGGAAGATGACATCAGCCTCAGCTGCTGCGTCCAGGCAGTGTGTGACCTGGTCATAGAAGGCTACAAGGTTTGTCAGGCAGGATATACCTGTGACAAACCCATGCTGGTTTCCCCTCAGCATCGTTTCCCCTGCTGGGCCTGCACAAATGTGTTCTTTGATTATTTTCTTTAGCATTTTCCCAGGGATAGAGGTAAGACTGACTTGCCTGAAGTTACCCAGCTCATCCCTTCTCCCTTTCTTGAAAATGGGCACCGCATTGGCCCGTCTGCAGTCCGCAGGGACCTGGCCAGAGCACCACGAGTGTTCAAACAGCTGTGCCAGCGGCTCAGCTATGACACTGGCCAATTCTTTCAGCAGCCGTGGATGGAGTGACTTTTTTGCCCAGGTCTTTTTCTGGCTCATGCTGAAATTTCTAATTGTTTTTGTTCTTGCCTTTTTCTTTGCCATACCATCTCTCTTGTGCAGAGTCAGACAGCCCACAGCCCAGCAGCTGGATGGAAAAACATCTGGCGTTTAATATTTTTGTTTTGGAATCACAAGGGCCCCATCTTCCAAGGTACTAAGTGTCCTTGATTCATGTTGGCCTGTACAGGAGCTAATGGTGCTTAGCACCATTTTAGGGAACAGGCCTAAAATATGCATGTGCTGGAGGCAGGGAATCTAATTGCAGACTAGAAACCACTACACACAATACACACCGTGAACTTGATCTGAGGAGACTGTAATTGTGCTGATTGCCATGTTGTGCTAGCTGGAGACAGCAAGGCTTTAATTTTGCCAATAAGAGAGCAGTGTGTGATTGCTAACTGGAAAATCAACATCTGTCCTCCTCCACCATAGCCTTGCATCTATTTTTATTGTGTTGGGCTGAACTCGAGGGAGTTTGAGGCTCAGAGTGGAGATGGTGTGTTTAGTTTTTCGGTGCTGCTGCCACAGCAAAGCTGTTGCCTTCAGTTCTGTTTTGACGGAGAAGATCTGCTTAATAGGTACTTTGAAAGACTTTCACCTGTTGTGCTGAGGTCTGACCATAAAGGTTGAAGTCGATTGAAATGATGCTCCATTGGCTACAGATAAGTTGACTCTACCAGGGGGCTTCTGGGAAGCTCCCTAGTCTAAGACTGATCAGCTTATGCAGCTAAACCTCTCCACCTCTTGTTGCCATCCTTCAGGCTACACCTTGATTGCCAGGCACTTGCATAACCACTTGATATGTGCAGTTTTCCTTCAGTGGATAAAGAAATTTAAGCAACTCAACCTCCATATCGCCTTCTCCTTGTTTTCTCAATACTAACAATGAGTCTGTTAGTAAGAGTGTCAGCTGGGACCCTTTTGTTCCATTGAAAAAAATGGGCATGAGATAAGAAATAGAAAATCCTTCCAGTAAAAGTGCACATGGAGCCAATGGACTTTCTTTGCTCCCATGAATGAGGCTATTAGGAAACAGTATTGCACCTGCTGCATGGGGCATTTAAAAATGCAGTGGTCCCCTTTCTGTCTGCAAGTTTATAGGCTGGGGAATGCTGATCCCTTCATATCAAAGGCTAAAAGTAGCTGCCAGCTGTAAGTCTACAACTTCCTGTCCATAACTTCCCCAGACCCCACCACCTTCTGACCTTTCACATGCCACATATCCCAGGATAGAAACTTGCTGAGACTGCATGTATCACTTCAGGGTGTCTCTTTGGGCTTGTCTGCTGTGTGCTATAACTTTACGGTGGTTGGAGAAGGCTCCTGATTAAGATACTATTTAAAGGCACAACATATTTTTCCATTTATTTGTTCCTTTTAATTTTAAACTAGGATAATTGTTCTATTTATGTTCTTTAAACTAAAAAACCTGACCCTGAAAGGCCTTGAATTACAGCAGCGACAAAGGAGGCATAGGTTTTTCTGTTGTCTAAGGAGGGCAGAAGACTATTTCCATCAGCTGCTTGTACTGA